TGTGTGTGTGTGTGTCTCCATGCCCCCAAACATCTCTCACATCTTATCCCCTCTCTCTTGATGTGCATCAGCTGAGCATAGCATGGCTTGTTGCACTTGGTTATCACAAAGCTCACTGTCCAATTCCAAAACATTACTTTTGCCACAACAACATGAATAAAACGCACTCACTTTGGAGCCCAGGAAACCAAAAAAAACATATGCTGGGCCTGTTTTATCTGCATCGTGCTAGTGACCATCCTGAGTGCACAGAAATGTACAAATATGATAAACACTAACGTTATCTACTTGTCCAACTAAAAAGAAAAAAACATCTCTTTTCTCATTTCCTGTGGCCTCAAACAATGTGGAGGTGAGCAATCACATACATCCCGGAGTTACATACATATTTAAACACACACATTCCCAGTCCCACCACTGAGCACTGAGCCTCAAAATCAACAAAACACAGCATGTATTATACCAAATATTCTTTATTTCTCAGGGTATAAAACTTCTGTACAAACACATCTTTCTGTGACGGACGTCCCTCAGTTAAACAGCGAATTCAGTGCGAGCAGATTGCAGCAGATTCTCTGTTACAATGTTTGTACATGCAGGAAAAATGAAAACAAGCTGATGTTTCACGCAGGCTGAGAGGGTCGGTTTTCCTAAGGGAAATTCTCAGCTGGTGTCCCATGTGAGTGAGCTCAGGTGTGCTTTAGGGGGTATCAGCCTTAATAAAAGTCAAATCTCTAGAATGAACCATTCTGTCCACTGCAGCCCATCTGCTTTTGCTTAAACTCACTGAACTTTAGGGGATATTCTTGTGCAATCAACAATTAGGGATGTGTGGATATGCTATGTCAAGTAAAGTCTAACAACAGATTTTCTTACAGTGATCTGAAGCCATTCACATACAGAAACCATTTCATATTGTTTCCAGATTCAGACTGGTTTGGATGGCTTCACTTTCTATCAACACAAAACACTTGTTTACTGAGTCACTCATTTAGCAGTACCAAGAAAGTACAACTGTCTTGTATTCAATCCACCTTTGTCAATTTAAAAACCTGTTCCAGCATCAAATATCACAACAACTGAAAGTCAACCATTGCAGCAACTGTGTATTTTAGTACACATCCAGACTTTTCACCTGTCCCAAACATTTGTGTCTATCTTCAACATTTTTGTGTGACCTTCCCTAAAACACTGACTTTGCAGCACAATACTCTCCACCGTATCTCTTCCCTAACTGTCTTTATACACAATAGTTCACTTTCAGAGACCTGTCTGTTCAACATTACAAAGCCATTCATCTGCTATACAGAATATACAATGCTGTGGATCAACCAGCTCCTGAAAAGAAGGTAAATCAGACTACTTCTGAAACACAAAATAACACAACTATAAGTCTTATATAAAAAAGTTGAATTCATAAGCCAAAAAAAAAAAGAAAGTTTTACTGCTACCACGTTACAACAGGCTGTGACCATATGACCAGTGGCTTTTGCTTATGTTTTCTAACTTGCTATATAACCAACATTACTGAGTCAGTTAATTTTATGACTTTTATTTACTGTTAAAATATTTCAGCATACAACATTATCACTTGAGTGGACGCTGTCCAGTAAATGTTAGGATTATAGCATAAGATTAATTTACCAGGTGAGAACCAAAACAAACATGAAGTCATCCTCATATCCTGGTCAGAAACAGATATTGTTTTTTTACATGACTGATAGATGTCATTCATGCTGTTAATGTATTCAAACTGGAATAATTTAACACAGATTTATATTTGTTTCATTAGTTCAGGCCTGAATCACAGCAGACCCACTGTGATGAGAAACTTACTATGCTCTCCATAAGTGTACGTGACCTGGTAGAGGAAATGCCAGCTATCATAAGGGTCTGTGTGACCTTTACCCTACTTAGATCCACTATCAGCCAAGACTGCACACAAACAGCAAGACAAACAACTTATTATGCCTTTTCCCAGAGCAAGAAACAATGCATTTGCTGAGTAAAACATCGACACAGTGAACCCATTCAGTTGCAGTTGTAACATCTTCGGGAGAAAACTACCAAAAAGCTCCAGTAACGCAGTCTTCAAATCCAGACAGTTATACATTCAGGCCTAAATTCAACATGAGAATAAGTTCTCAGATTCCTCTTAGACAACAACACTGTACATATATGTATTTGAAGCCAGATTGTAGAAAAATCAGCAGGCCAGTTTAGGTTTCACAAGGGCATTTTTAGAGAAAAGTCTGGTAGGAACCAAATTTTGGTGCCAAAAGAAATGTTTAAAAGAGAGTGGCTAACTAACTGGGTGAAAATATTCCACAGAAGCGTAAAGCATTGTACAAATCCTCTACTACGATTGTGCAAGTTCTGGTGTTCCTGTCTCAGTTTGCATTAACTAGGGAGAAAACACGCCAAACTCTGAACATTTTGTGTAACTTAAATTTAATAGATTTAAAAGGAATTATTAATAATTGAATTTCAAGGCACACCGCATCTCACTCTATTCCCCACCAGTAGATGACTGACTTTAAACCACACACTAAAAAAATGTGATGCAAAATGTGATTAAAATGTAAAGGATTTCAGGTCTTTGAAAAAAACATAAATCAGAAAAACTGCCTCACTTTTACAGATTTAACAGGTTTAACACATTTTAGCCCAAAGTTTACAGCTTCCTTAGCTCTGAGCTAACAGCTAGTTCACACTCATTGAGTTAGATATCTATTATTGTTGACTATTGTTGACCTTTTCAGGAGGTTAAGTTAACTGGTGTGGATTACTTGCTGTTGTGAGATGGTTAAAGGTACGGTTAAACAGTAAAACACTCTGAAGGTATGAATCTTGACGGTTTAACCTCGTCTTATAACGTTTGGGTTACTAGTCAGACAAAGGTTTAACGTGGGCCTGACAGGGGTTTAGATCATATTTTAGATGGGCCCAGAGTGAAAATCAATTTTTTTATGTTTATGTCTTATCAATATGAATATTTATGTTGCATACACACTAAATAATGGGAGATCTGCTTTGAATCCATTACAGACTGCACACTGGTTGCACCCTTTTTCCATTCTGCTGCAGTGACTCTAATACAAAGAGCCATTCAGCTGCAGCCACTGCAGAGAAATAGCTGTAAATTTTTGCTCTTGTTTAAGTAACTACAATGTACAAAGGGAGGTGTGGCAGTGGAGTGTTTGACGGCCACACAGTTTGTGTTTTAGTTTTTATTTCTGCTTTACAACATACAAAACGTATTCTATTGGAGAGAGAATAGGCTGCAGAGGCAGAAATTATCAATGGTTAGCACTGTAATAAAGAAAGCGAGAGATTGTATCTTGGGTAAAGGGAGCAAATGCAGAGCAAAAAACATGATGAATCAAACTATAGTTCATAACTACTAAGAAAAGATTTCACTGAATATGTACATAATTCAAATTTCACAGTCTTAGATACACACTTGCATTGGAAAGCTAAGGAATAAATCCATCTCTGTGTTTTTTTCATTTTGTAGATTTAAACACATGCAAAGAGCACTTGGTTGATCTATTTCTGTTAAGTGCTCACACTTATGGCTGTTCAAGTGTCTGGAAAGATACAAATATCTGAAACCAATATTGTATTTGCCTGACTTGCAACTTGTGCCTATAGACGCACGCAGGTTACTGGTTGATCGGATGAATATTTCAAATCCAGTTTTAGGCTGAATTCTTTATTTGCAATGTGAAAAAGGCCTCTACAGAAGTCACTTAACAGCTAAAGTTATTGCTTGTTGAACAATGTGAAAACACTAAAATTACAAAATGTCCTCCTGCCCGATTAAGGTCAAGTGCCTGTCTGCAGTGCACCACCACGGTACAGAGACGATAGAGTCCTTCAGTACTAATGTGGAAAAGATGAGGCCACCAGTGGAAACCTGACTTCCACATACAGTGTTGAGTCTTCTTGAGTAAAGATACAACTTGCTTTTGCAGAACAATGCTTTGTGTGTTTTATCATCTGGATGTTCAGACAGTCTCGTTTCATTGTTCAGCATCTTTTGCTAGTACTGAGATATGTGGTAGCTATCATTACTCTTTTTAAACAAATTTAGCAAGTGAAAAAATATGACGGTGTTATTTTTTTAATAAGGCAAGAATGGATTGGGAAGAAGGACACAAGCATTAGTTCTATTGTTGTTGATGTGATCAACACCAAACTTATTGACTGTCTGGCTTCATTCTGGGCCATACAGTGGCAGGACATGAAGACAACCTCACTAAAAACCAGACCTAATTCCACAAATAGTGGAATAGACTAGACTAGAATACAAGGTAAACCAAGATCCAGGTTTCAGATTAGGCTTATAGGCTGCACCTTTACCTGTATAACACTGTGTCCAGTGATTATGTCTGGGTCAAAAAATCCTAAATGGATACATTTTTCATATGTAACTAAGGATGTTAAATTTCTAATCACAGACAAAGAGAAAAAGTTTCTGGCCTGGTCTGATCATAAACAATGCACCAGGCATGGAGAGAGTCTTCTGCTAGTCCCAGAAAAGTTCTGGTTCGTACCAGTTTCCATGGGGGACAGGGAGAAACTTGTCCTGCAGAGGGCTCATACTGGAAGCAGGTTAAGAATCAAACACGGTTAGAAAAAGGCCACGGCAGTACTTCTGTATTTTCAGAGCAGGTTCTTCTAGAACCAGGCTGGGCTCAGTAGTAAATAATCCACTATAAGACTAAAACTCCTCTCCAAACAAAAACAAAACGTAAAGCACTTTAGATCTGTGACAGTCTTACTTTGGTTCCCAGCCACAGTCGAGTCGAGGTCCTGCTCAACATCTGGCTCCATTAGAGAGAAACCCAAACAAAAAGCGAGTCCAGGCAGAACCCAAACCCAGCTGAATTCAGACCAGGATACAGTCAACAGAGCATCAGAGTCTTAGACCCAAACTGATCGCAGGGTCTGCTCTAGGCCACACAGCAGTACCTTTTCCACCATGACTTGGACAGACTCTTCATCTTGTCCGGCGTCTGCCTTTGCTTTTTTCGTCGTTTCTGTTTCCCTCTTGGGTGCTTATGAGAGCTGCAGCTCTGCAGGCTAGCCAGTATGGCTGTGTCAAACACTTCTTTCAAATTCTTTTGGGTCAGTGAAGAGCACTCCATGTAGGCCACAGCTCCAATCTCCACCCCACAGTCCCGGGCATCTGCTGGGTCCACAGGTCGCTCCCGGTACTTAGCCAGGTCGATGAGAACCTAAAGAGAGGAGGCAACATGTGTGTTAATATGCTTTTTTTATTGCCTTTTTAATGGATAGTGACAGCTGAAGATAGACAGGAAAGGGGGGTAGAGAGAGGGGATGACACGCTGCATTCGAACCCTGGGCCGCTGCAGCAACTTGGTACATGGTCGCCGGCTCTACAGCGCCCATTAATATGCTTTTGTAGATCAGGATTTTCTGATATATTAGTCAGAAACAATTTTATAATATTTGAGAAGCATCCTACAAAGTTGCTGCTAAATTTCTTCTAAACAGTTGAAATTTCCTTCTATCTAAAGCAAAATAAACCCTGAGTCAAATACACAATCATGTTAAAGATCATAAAATTGGCAAACCATTGATGTTGTGATATAATAATAGTGCAGAATAAGAACTGTGACACTGTTTGACAAGTCAAAATTAGGTCAATTTAACAGTCAGACATGTAAGCTTCTATTTTATGCTGTTGCTTAATGTTTGTCAAAATGAAGGCATCATACTGTCTATATAAGTATTTCTAATATAAGAGCATGTTGGTGCTTGTTCCTCCTACCCCTCAATTGTTGATGCATCTATGAATTCTAGAACTCTCTAGAATATTTCTCCTCATTTTAAGAGTCTTTCTCATTGCACGTTTTAATTCTCACCAACATCAACCATTGGGAGAAGCTTTTGTGCGTTTGTACGTGCATCTTTTAATTGGACTGTTGAATAAAACACAGAATTTCCATTTGATTTGTTGTAACTCTAATTAGGCTGCCTGTTTGTTTTCATCATGATATTAAATAAGACATATAAGCATTAATGCATGTGTAATTTCCTTCACCTTGACATCTTCTCGGAGGTCACACTGCGTCCCAACCAGGACAAGCGGAGCGAAGGGGGCGTGTCTCCGAATCTCTGGAACCCACTTCTCAGGAACGTTCTGGAAGGAGGCGGGACTGACGACACTGAAGCACAGCAGGAACACATCTGCACTGGTGTAACACAGAGGTCGCAGCTTGTCAAACTCATCCTGGAGAGATCAAAACGAGGAGAGAAGAACTGCGGTGAGGATGAAGCAAATGCACTGATTTAGCAACCGGCACAATAATGCTTTTTAAGAGATATCACATCCTGTCCATCATGTCTATCCTTCCACAGCTACTGGTGCTACTGAGGGGTCTATTTCAGTGACACATGATTAACTATGAAGATCTGTGTAGTTTCTCCTCCCTGGCTTTGTGTCTCTCCCCTTGATCTCCCACTCTGTCCTTCCTCTGCCTGTGATCCTCCCATTCATTCTGTCATCACATCTGAAAACACACTGATACAGAGAGCCAGCTGTTCCTCCACACACACTGAGGGTACAGTACACACCTGCACGCAGCGGGGCATTTTTCTTTGAAATCATTTCTGTATTTGTTTTCAAAGATAACATTGTTTGTTTCAAGGTAAACATCAGCTCTCAGTTGTAGCTCATTGTTTCGGACAAACAGCTGCTGTAAATAGATGTAAAATGCATCACTTCCTGTGTGCCTGAGAACTGTTCCTAGGAAAGACCAACCAGACAGTTTCCTGGAGAGATAATTAAATTTAATTGAGATATCCATTGTAAAACAGGTCCAGTTATCTATGAAACCTGCTCCTGGAGCCTAATGCACACCATGTTGGTCAAACCAGACTGTCACTCTTCTGTGATTTTTAAAAATGCTGAACAGGAAATAGATTTGGATAAATCAGCAAAACCTTATATGAAATCTTTTAAGGCATCTGTAGCAACATTGAGCAACAATATATGTTTTAAGTTTTGGAAAAGATTTAGTGTCCAATTAAAAAAGCTTTATGGTCGGAGGGGGATACCACGCAACCGCTGCGTCCCGGTTTGATTCCACCAGGGACCTTTGTTGCACTTCAGACCAGCTCTTTCTCTCCACATTTCCTGTGTAGCTCCACAGTGTCATTTACCAAAAAGAGGCAAAAATGCCTGAAAAACAAGAATTTGTGTGCGACCACAAAGAAAGAAAGAAGATTGTTCTCTCTTCTTCAATTCCCCCGTCAGAGGCGCTGTTTCAGACGCAAATAAAACAACAACAGGAAATGCTGCTGGTCTGTGTGTGTGGTTGTGTGTGTATGTTGTGTTTGTGTGTTGGTGTGTGTTTTGTGTGTGTATGTAGTGTGTATGGCGTTTGTGTGTTGTGTTGAGATCACTGACCTGTCCGGCATGTGTCCCCCAAAACAAAAAGAGTTGTAGTTTGGACGGCTGCCGTCACGTACACCCGCTCACACACACCACACACAACCATACACACACACCACACACCTGTGAGACCATTGTGTATTTATTCACTGAAACACACATACTATGCCATTATAATTCATTCTTTAACCAAATCACACAATCTGATGACATCAGCTGCGTAAAAGGTAGATTAACTAACCTCCTTTAAATTAAGACACTCAGCTTAAAGATCCAAAGATGAATCCATTATATTGGCTTTCGAGACTGTCACTCAAGCAGTCAAAATTAAATCAATTACAATACAATCAACTACTTAAGTTCTAATCATATAATTAAAGCGCTTATAATCAAAAACTAATTGATAGACTGGTCCAGACTTAAATTAAATGCTGTAATCAACATCCCTACACACTTAAATACCAATATATTGATCAGCCCCTCTATGTAGTCGGATCTTATAATACTCAGCTCTGTGGTCAACTGCTGCATTTAGACTTTCTAATGATTATTTATAGATCTTATATGAACTATTGAATCAGCATGATAGTCACCATACTTTACTGAGAAGTTGTCAACGCGGTGGGGATGTCTCGGTGGGGTAGCCGTTGGGGTGTAAGCGACCACGCAGGCTGGTTTATTCCCAAAGTCCGTCCCACACCAGCACACACTTCACCGGCTCCTGCCGCTTCTCCGGCTCCCGCTGCGCCTGGCCGGAGCCGCAGGTCCTGCCGGAGCCCCTGTCGCGGCTTTCCGGACTCTCCTTGGTGGTGACAGGGGGCAGGGACATCCGGTGCCGGCTTGTAGCCTCCGTCTGGCCCCTGCAGAGGGCATCTGGTACTAGTAAGAGGAGGGGTGAACATGAAGCCCGCCGGCAACCCCGGGCCAGGAGGTTCAGTCTCGGTATTAGAGGAATCAGTTTTTCACATTCGTCCATATCTTACCGTATATCTGCTGGCGGGTTGTAATGACTTTTGTCCTGTTGTACTGCTGCTTCCTTCATAGAGTTCTCCATAGGTTTATTCATAATAAATATAACATAGTTTCAACCTTCATGGACATGCCCAAAACTACAGCCCACCAGTACGCGAGACTTATGTCCATAACTTCAGGAGTTCAGCGGTTCATTTAAATTAAAGTCCGGTTTAAAGAGCGGGGATATTCAGATTAACGGCAATCTGTCTTGTATACAAGTCTTAAGTGTACCGGATCCAGGATACGTCATGAGACAGACAGACGCGCGTGCCCAGACTCGCCCTGATCTAGATGACATCACTGCTCGTGTGATGTGTGTTAGTGTTTGTCGTAGTGTGTAGAGAAGAGAGAGGGGGAAAAATTAGATATATAAGTAAAAAAAAATAAAGGGGGAAGAGAACTCAGAATCCAATTAAAATATTCAATAATACATATACTATATACAATAAAATGAAGCAAAGTATTATAAAATCAAAATTTTTAAAAAGTAGTTTATTATCAATATCTGAATGTTAAAATATTACTTGATCGTATGAAATATAATATATATATTAATAAAATCATTAATAACTTTATTTAAAGTTTATTTTTAATCTATATTATTTTCTGTTGATCTAGTGTTCATTAACTAATTTTTCATCAATTGCTATCATTTATTACTTATTACTCATATTTTCATTTTTGTTTTGTCTTCTCGATACAGTCTGTTATATGACTGATAGCAGATGTACTCAGATTCTCCACTTAAGTGAGAGTATGTAATAACACATTATATTCCATTAGATATATTATTATAGCAACGATACTATTGTGCTGGTCGAGGTGGAACTTAACTACTTTATATTATGTTGTTGGGTATGAGTAAGATCAATTAATAGCAATGCAATCATATTTAATAAACTAATAAAAGGTTTTGAATGAAAAGTCTTAAAATGCAACAACTACATTAGATCAATATAGTGGATAAAGCTCTATTTTATTGCGTTATATTCTTCAGAATTGTAATATCAAGATGGAAATATTCAATCAAAACACAACTCAAGTACAGTATGAGATTACTGATAGGACATTTGCGCCACCTAGTGGACATAGTGAAAATCACACGTGATACCTGGTAATTAAACGCTTATTAAAAAACATTTAAAAAAGAAACATATTAATAAACATAAAAAAAACATATTAATATTTTATGGGTCTCAGGAAAACCACTTAATATCCTATTTCCCCTCATACCATATCAAATGTAGACAAGTCTGTACCATAATATCACATCAGTGAGTGCGGAACTAAACATCAGCCGTGTTTCCTCACGGACTCTCTTCTGAGCTGCACCCAGGTCTCATGTGTTGTGTTGTGACAGGTTGAAAAAGACTCTTCTCTTCTGGACAGAAGTCTGCTAACATAAGCTGTCCGTCTGACAGAGAGACAACCTCCTTCATACCAACATGTCCTCGGCGGAGGTCGTTCTGGGTTTCCTGGAGGAGGCGGAGCCGTGGCGGCTTCTCTCCCCGCAGTTCCCCAGTAAAGTCGGAGGGAAACCGGCGTGGCTCAGCCAGAAAGGCCTGCCCTCACTGCCCGGGCTGGACTGTGAGATATGCCGCCTGCCTATGGCCTTTCTGCTGCAGGTTAGTGATCCGGAGGAGGGAGGGAGACAGTGTGTTCACCGTGTGGAGCTCAGAGTGAACAAGTCATTAAAGTGAACTACACAGAGACAGACAGTGGTAATGTCTCCCTCAGAGAAACCATGGAGCTGATTCATAGATGATTATAATAATACTGTGTTACAGAGTAGCTTTAGTGGAATAAATATGTGAATATTTTCAGAATAAAAGTACCAACAAAGCAGGTAACTACTGTAGAGGATCATTAATTCGTTTAGTTTATTGTATTAACATTTCCAAGGGACTAAAGACATTCAGACAGATTTGAAAATTCATGTTAGATCAGAGAAATAAGCAAATAAATAACTGTGATACCAAGCGCCTCTTTAAAGGTAACCCTAAGCTGACAAGTCTACTCATTTTTATGTCAGCCAAATAGTTACTCTTTATATACTGATCTCACCCTTATTCATTATAAAACTAGAAAAAGTACTTTGGTGTGACCAAACTCAGCTCCAGACTAATCTGAGCTGCTCTTCTATATAATATATATTATTATATATAATAACTATTCAGTGTAGTCATGTTCTCCATCCTCCTTGCAGGTGTATGCACCAATTTCTGGTCAGGACAGAAGTTTCCACAGAACGCTCTTTCTGTTCTGCTGCAAAACCCATGAATGCTACACATGCAACGACAGCCGCTGTATGAAAGGTAACTATTATTATCGCTTTAATGTTTGTCATTTGTCCTGTTTGTTGTCACATGATAGCAGAACTGACTTCTTTTATTGTCCTGCCTTCCCCACATCCCCTTCACATTTAGAACCACTGACCTGTTGTTTGGGGCTCTTTTTTTATAAGTGTAAACTCATTTTGTAACGTTTTTTTTGACAGATTGTGTTTTATCTTCCTTTCCTTTCAGTTTTCAGAAGTCAGCTACCTCGGAGGAATGAGTTCTACCCCTACAACCCTCCCCCAGGTTAGTGTGTTTAACCAAAAATATAACAGTGCTACAATCAATATTTCTACATGTTTAGAGAGCCGATATTAGCTTTGATACAAAATGGTAGGAAAGATGAAATGTATATAATTGTATTTGGCTTTGTTCATTATTTAGATTCTGGCAGGATATGTGCACTGATTGTTTTTCTTTTTTTTCCTCAGAGGATGAACCTCCCAGCGATCCCACCCCGGACCAGAGTGTGTTGCCCGTCTCTGGAGTTAAACTATGTTGGGTGTGTGGTTGCCCTGGCAGCAAAGCCTGCTCTCGCTGTCACACTGTGACCTACTGCGGAAAACAACACCAGACCCTCCACTGGAAACACACACACAAGAAGGAGTGTTGCAAAGAAGTAACAATGGACACACGTGTGTATTTTCCCTCCAGTCACTGAAGGCGTTGCGTTTAGAGAAGTAGAGTTTTTGCCACACGGAAGACTTCATGTCTCTGCTGTGTCTTTTGTCTTTCTGCATAGAAGCATCCATTGTCCCAACCTCTCCCTTCCTCTTCCCTGAGTTTGAGCTGGTCACTGAGCCTGAGGAGGATGAGGAAGAGGAGGAAGAGAAAGACACAAAGGAGACTGAAGAAGAAGAAGAGGAAGCGGGGGCAGATTCCTTAGCAGACAGTAAGTTTTAAATGATGTCTGACATTTGGTCCCTTGAAGTAATCTGCTGCATTAAATGTATAAATAATATCTCTAAAGCCTATATCCTGACTTTGTATTCTGTATTCAGCCCTGGAAGAGACAGACCTGGAGGAGATGGCTATGCATGAGACTGAAGACAACAAAGTGTTCCAGCGGTTTAAAAAGAAGATCGCACCAGAACCACACCAGGTATAAGAATAAGTAATAATATGGTTAAAAGACTGGAATGAACACAACCACGGTCTGTGTCCAATCTCAGTGTGTTTTGTTACATTCAGGTGGTGCGTTACAGTCGAGGGGGCTCTCCCTTGTGGATTTCTTCTCAGCACATCCCTTCGGATCAGGATGTCCCACCATGCACCTGTGGCGCCAAGAGGATTTTTGAGTTTCAGGTAGTTACTGGCTGATAGATGCTCAGTAATCCGACCTCTTAAAGACATTTTAAATCTTCTTTTTTCACTCACCACAGTCTTGAATGCCAACATGCTCTTATGTGCCAAATTTATAAAGTTGTGTATGCATGTTGATGAATGCGAACGAGCAAAGTTAAAGTGTATTTTTATTATTTGGAATGAGTGAACCAAGGCCTTTTTTGCCGTTGAAATGTTCAGAAATATCCAACATTTGGTGCAAGAACTGCTCCAGTACAATCGCCTCATCTGTCAATAGTTTATTAATGAATTCAGTCAAATGTAAATCAAACTATCCCTCTGTGGACCATTATATGTCATGTATGGCAAACCCTGACCAGAGGTTTCTTTCATAGTTCACTGTTCATTGTATGCACTATGAAGTGGAAGAAAATGCTCGATTATTACTCATTCATGTGATCGTTTAATAACTAATAGGATTTATAGCATGCAAAAACACTGAAAAAGTTCCTCAATCATGTCTGAACAACCCAGAATGCTGGATTATGTGTGTAACTCTGAAATACATGTAATAACTTTATGTGTGTGTGTGTGTGTGTGGTTTTAGGTGATGCCCCAGCTGTTAAACAGTCTGTGTGTGGACTCGAAAGGGGCCAGTATTGACTGGGGGACACTGGCTGTCTACGCATGCTCTGCCAGCTGTTACCATGACGACCAGTACTGCCCCGAGTTCATTTGGAAGCAGGACGTCAACTCAGATCAACACACACAGATTAAACCTACGTAATGCACGTGTGCTGCTTGACAAGAGTTTTGGACACACTGATAAATGTGAGAACTGATTTTCACTGTGGGCTGGACGTGAGCTTCTCTTTTATGTAACAGATCAACTTAAAATCTGTGAAATTCAGCGGATAGAGAGCTCAAACTCCTCCCTCTGACACTATCACGAAGATATTTGCTGTATATATTTCAACCAGGTTTATTTTTACAGTTGTAAACATATTCTGTGTACTGACAGTGTTTATCTATGAGTTCATTAAATGGATCTATTCTGGCATCAATAATATTCTGACCTATGTGGTAAGAATCAGTACCACATACTGTTTATACAGCAGATCTATAGGAGCCAAAGCAAACAAAGCATGACCTCGTGCCTTATCGTCCCACAATAAAGTTTTTAACTAAGTTGTCTGGAGTTCATCAGGTTTTCTGCATCTTCCAGTGTCAGACAGATAATGTACATTAAGTTAAATACGTTTGCAGACTATAAGACATCAGGTCTGATGTATCTCCCACTGAGATTACTGCAATCTCAACTCAACTGACTGATATTAAATTCAAGGTTGCATATATCAGATCAGATGTGTGCTATAGGAAAAAAAATGTTAATGTAAACATCAGGGTCACTAATTTAGTAAAACAATGTAAGTAGTAGCAGCACAAGTATAGAGTAGTTTAGTCCTTAAACTGAATAAAGAAGTCATACAGCAATATCCTTTAAAGGTTTGCCAACATTAGACACCATAAGCTACAAAGTAAGGCTTTAGCAGCAAAACCCCCAGTGTATTTAATTAAGAAAGGGTGCGTTTTACTTCTTATGAATTCATCTTTTCATTTATAAGAAGAATAATGTTGTTCCTTGTATCTTTGTCTCGCTTTAAACAAAGGCTGTGTTTTGACTAAAGATAAATCTAACAGATGTAGTTCTGAATTACTAAGTTAATTATCTTTACACTAAGGTTTGATATACAGCAAGTGGTTAATGTTGCAGTGAATGAGGAGTAACCAAACGATCATGTTTGGTCTCTGTTAAATCTATATACTGTGCAGCAAGACTGTATAATCAGTTCAATACAACTCCGCCACCAATATAATCTGCCCAGTTTACACAGTGGAGTTCAACTCTTTAGCTCTTTACAAAAAATGACAACAATTGTGTTCATTGGATAACAAAAATGCTGTTTCCAGATAAAACAGCATCAAAATGTTGACAGAATAAACTTTAACAAAGAGCCAGTATGTACACATTTATTAATGCGCAGTGCAGCACTAACACTTTCAGAAGAATTGCATTTAGATGTGACAGGACTTCCTGACCTCCAGCTCGTCACAAAGAGGAGTATTAATCCTTCATCTCTTCAGCCATTCTGCTGTCCACACAGACGATTAAACAGTCAAAGTTGCCAGTGACACACAAGCACACCAGAAGTGCCCAGAATTTAAACTCGTTTTTGGCGTGTGGCTGAGCGAACAGCGTGGACAACCAAGACCGATGAACGTGCCTATGCTGAAAAACGATTCTTTAGAAAAAGGAAAAAAAAAAACAACAACTTTTAAATATAGTCTTAAATGGCCAAAAAAGTAGATAGAAAAACTTTAAAACAATACATAAACATGATGCATAGTTGACCTGCCATCATGACGCCTTAGTGCTTGTGCTAGTGAAGATACCGGACGTGAATTTAAGAGACGAGGTTTTCTACTTTAGGACCAACGGTGTCTTTCCTTCACGTTTTGGTTCTGGTTGAGTTTAAAGTACAAATTTATGTCAGGAACTCAAACTAAGTGACACAAATCTTGAAAGAACTAAACGACATGATGACAACTTCAGCAGCAGGCCTGGGATCAGTTTAGTTTAACTGCCAATTCAACATTTAAGAGCATCCAACTTCAGTTAACAGACTGTACTGTACTGTGTGATTTGAATTTAGAGGCAAAGTCACTTCCAGCATTTATTAAATTAGGACTTCGCTGAATCGAGATCCAACTGATTTGAATGTAGAAGATATCAATATAAAACTCTCACAAAGCAGACTGATTCGGTTTGGCATGAACATACTCTCGAACTACTGCAAATACTGTTAAGGAATGTGGGGCTGACGGACTCGAACGCGTCTTGATACAATTTGGGGACTGAGTGGACGATTAATAAAAACGCAATGTACAAAACTATTTAAAAGAGTTTAAAATAAAAACAAAAAACAAAAAAAACGGTCCTAGTCAGACCGCTTCTCTTCTAATCAGCGATATTTTTTACATGTCTTTACAGTCATATGTACAATCAGGGATGTGATCAGGACAACAGTAAAAGCCAAAAATAACTGGGCAAAAACAGAGAGAAGTTTCCAAATAAATGGAGATGTCTGTGTGTGAAACGTATCACTTGGGATTAGAACACAGCAACAAAAATCTGTAAAAATCCTGTTTTTCGAAGAAACAAAGTCGACTCACATCCCTTTACAACAGCCCTTACAGCAGTCCACATGTAGAGGTCAACGTGTAGATGACGCTTCACATGAATTTAAAAAAAAAAAAGAGTAAAAAGAGGCGGTGTTGGGGAGAAGATAAAAGAGGGTGCTCCAGGTTCTACGTTGTCTTGCGGAAGCCTTTCAGGATGGGGTAGATGTTTTCAAACGCTTCGTAGATCTCCGCTCTCACCTTGGCACCTTAAAAACAAAACAACACAGATTTACATGTTGTGAATTATCTCCTCCATTTTCTATTGTTTTACTGTAGTTTGAGCTTGATGACTTCATCATTCTTATCCAGTGGCTCTCAAACTTTTTAATATCTCACAATTTCATTAACAATGATGAGAAACAAATAGAAAATGAATTTTACTAAAATAAAAGATCAGCACAAACAGAAAACTCTTCATTTTCCCGACATAAAATCATATTCATTGAATGTCCCACTCCATATTTTTCCCCTGGTCATCCACGCACCATCTGCAGTGGCTCTATGGCCCCTAGTGAGGCCCGCCCCACAGTTTGAGAACCACTGACAATCTCAGGTTAGAGCTTGACTAAGACATCAACATGATCTATAAATAACAACAAACTGTTGCTGTTTTTACAATCACTGAACACATGATGGGGTCATTTAGAAAAAGTTTGTCAAGTTTTGTTTTCCAACCATGTCCCACTCAATCGACTGCTTTATCAAACACATCAACAAGTTGAGAAAAAATACTAATCTGCTTTTTCTGACCTGTGAAGTCAGAAAGAGAAACACAAAGCTGGTTACATCCACAAGCAGCTCAATCTAACCATCCAACCAATTATCTTCTCCTCCAAAAAGGTTGTGATTAGGACACAGGAGTAATGCCATCATTAGAGCGGAGTGGGTCTTACCTGTGAGTACAACTTTCCCAGAGACAAAGATGAGCAGGACGATTCTGGGTTTGATCATTCTGTAAATCAGTCCTGGAAACAGCTCTGGTTCGTAGCTGAAACAAACAAATTCATTCATTTTAATCTCAAGCACGAGTTCTGTTATTAAAATAAATCAATTTCAAGTTAAGAAACACTCCTGTTGGCTCTCTGCATTCTGTCTGCAACCTATATGCTAAATGCTTTCAGAAGATAAAGTCAGAAGATAGAGTCTGTATCGGAGGCTTCAGTCTGATCACAAATAAGCCACGTCTATCCTTTATTCCTGTGGCACACAAACACGACATTCTCACATTGCAGCCTCATAAATTACCTGCTAAACTGTTGATGTGTGAGGACTAATCCCTCCAGACGAATAGGGAACTTCACGTCACAGCTTCCCACCATGTTCTGAATCTTGAAGTCCAGGAACTTCGCAGGAAAACCAAGCTTCTGCACCACACGGGCGTATTTTCTAGCTGCTAACCTCGACTGCTCCTCACTAGAGGGGTGAGTCGATGAGATACACATTATAGGAGAATTGAGGAGAGGAAAGGAGATGAGACACAAGACAAGAAAACATTTTATTGAAAACTCAAGCAAAGCCTAGCATCCCTTCTAGAGACAACACTACTGTGAAAATATGGTTTTGTATTATAAACTTCAGCACATGAAAGGTCTGCAAATAAGCAACTTTCTGACCTCTTGGCTCCGGTGCAGACCATCTTCCCAGAGCTGAAGATGAGCGCAGTGGTCCTGGGTTCTCGTATTCTCATGATGACGGCAGCAAAACGCTACAAGAAGAAGGGGTAAGCATGACCCACAGAGCCACAGTGGCCAGATTTATAGGAAATAAACCAGAATTGTCCCTTAAGAAGCAAAAATAAAAATCACATGTTGAGCAGCTGACCAACACAGAGCTGATCACTGCAGTGTGCAGCAGTCTCACCTTTGGGTTGTACTCTGCATTCCTGGCTCTCAGAGCAATCGTCTTCAAGTCCAGTTTACAGCCCAGATTTACAGTAGATACAATGTTTCTAATAGAAAAAGACCGAACGAAGAAGTTAGGAGACATGACGAAACACTGTTCAGTCAGAAGCTCAGAAACAAGAAAACACATTTGTGACTGAGCAAAATGACACCAGGACACCTCCTGATCTCCGAACTGTCAGCTATATTCATGTGTAATGTCGAAATACATTTTAATTCACACTGAGCACAATATTTGGTCCTTGCATGCATTTCCTCAAACGATCATCTAGAAGTAAGCTAAACTTATACAGTTATCACTTACTATGGTAAAATAACATGACAGGGAAGATTGTCATTAGCTTCAAGTGGCATAAACAGATGAGAATAAGATACTTTGACCGTTATTTCCACTGGATATGAAACATACTGTAGCTGTGGTACTATTCCAGAGCTCTCTGAAGCCGGTGTGGCCGGTGTGATAGGGGTCATGGGGGTCAGCGGGGTGTTGTAGAGCGGAGTATTCCCCGGCAGTGCTGTGGTGGTCGGGCCTGCTACTGTCTGGGAATGGTAAAGCTGGGGGGTCTGCCCCGACGTCCCAGGAAGACCTGGAGAACAAAGAACGGGTTTTTTCACTACAATATGAACCAATGATAAACTTCCACTGCGGTTCAGACTTGGACAACGAATATTGAGATCAAATAAACGGTGAAAACACCAGATTATGACGGATTTCACCACATGAGGCTTAGAAAGGCCGGAGAAGAAGAAGACAGTAATGTGTGTTGTACCCGTGTTTGCTTGTTGCGCCTGTTGTTGTTGCTGCTGCTGTTGTTGCCTCTGCTGTTCTTCCAGTATAGACAAACTGTTGGTGTTTTGGACGGGCTGCGGTGTCAGGCCTGAGCCATACGGCATCATGGGACTGAAGATTGGCATGCCTGGAGTCATGGCCCCCTGCATGAGGACACAAAGGACATAAATTTGGGACTGAGCAGAAAAGCCACATCAGGAGCAAATTACACTAACAAACAAAAACAATAATTCACCATTGTCACAATGTTTACTCTTCCTCCTTTCTTTAAAGAAATACAAATAACTGTAGGTTCAACATGTTGGCTGCACAGCTATGTTACCAAAAACAATAGTACACTGGGTCCTGAATTAATATCTCTGTGGGGAACATGTTAAAGTTGTTAAAGTTGGTAAGTTTCAATGAAATGGAAATACCAGAGATAGTTAGTTCAGTATCATCTGTTACAAGCTGCAAGCTCTTGCAAACTCTGCACTGGCAGCTCCAGATTGTGGTTTAACTCAAAGATTTAATCTCATTGATATAAGTGACATTATATGACAACCACTGGGTCTCCAGTGACAAGGTCTGAAGCCTCAGCCAGATGTGGGTCTGCTGGGCAGCTACAGTGAGCTACGAGTGTGACTTGGTGAATCGGGCTGTGTTGAGAGGAAGATGGGAGCAAATTTATTTAAAGATGACTTCAGCATAAAGTAGTTGAAAGCAGTGTTACCTGAGGGGAAGCCAGCCCCTGGAAGGCTGGTATACTGTTGTTCTGGTCCATCTCCCCAGGTTAGTTCACTGCCAGTCAACAGCAGGAAGTACCACAGGCTGGAGAACTTCACACAGCAGGAGTCTGGTCTCTGTAGTACAGCAGACAAACAACCACAGTGGACTGGACTCACACAAACACACTCCTTCTTGTCTCTGGCCGCTGTGTCTGCAGAGATGGACAGAACCACTCAGATACACATTTTATCATTCCTAATTATTAATCACAATGCATCATGGACAGTTGAGTGAAGGACTTGCAGGTGACGGTGCAGCGGTGGCGCGAACACATTCACTGCTCGCTAACCACATTTAGCTTTAACGTGAATTAACGTGACTTCAGCCCGTTCATTCATTTTAAATGTCCTTTATAAAGTCGACTGTGCAAAACACGGGCGGCAACTTCATATACACCCGAGCAGTCTCCCGGCAGGATGCCTCCAAATGAAACACATCAACACACGGGCTAGCAGAAGTTAGCCGCAGAGCTAATGCTAGCAACGCCAGCTAACACGAAGTCGTAAGTTGTCATGTCAACCGCGTTGCGTTCACAGTCAAACACGGACTTTGTGCTGCAAAAACAGCCGCACACAACTGCGGCCTGTGCGGCTGCAGCGCGGCGCCCCGGCGGCGGACTTACGCTCACACTGTCGCACTTTAAAACCTTCACAGGAACAAAAATTAATTCACATTCAGACTCGTTTCATCCTCATCGGCGCCCGCGAGCGTCGGCGGCTGCTTCCGGAAGTCGACGCCTTTAACTTCCGGCGCGTCACAGTTCACCGCACACAGAAGGAAGATGGCGTCGCTGAGTGACAAGTCAGTTTGGGACGAAGTGGAGGATGGGATCGGGGAAGAAGTGTTAAAAATGTCCACGGAGGAGATAGTTCAGCGGACTCGACTGCTCGACAGTGAGATTAAGATCATGAAGAGCGAAGTGCTGAGGGTGACCCACGAGCTTCAGGCCATGAAGGATAAAATCAAAGAAAACACGGAGAAGATAAAGGTGAACAAAACGCTGCCGTACCTGGTGTCTAATGTGATCGAGCTGCTGGATGTGGACCCCAACGACCAGGAGGAGGACGGGGCCAATGTGGACCTGGACTCCCAGAGGAAGGGGAAGTGCGCGGTCATCAAGACCTCCACCAGACAGACCTACTTCCTGCCCGTGATCGGACTGGTGGATGCCGAGAAGCTGAAGCCGGGAGACCTGGTGGGTGTCAACAAAGACTCCTACCTGATCCTGGAGACCTTACCCACCGAGTACGACTCCAGGGTCAAGGCCATGGAGGTGGATGAGCGCCCCACGGAGCAGTACAGCGACATAGGAGGGCTGGACAAGCAGATCCAGGAGCTGGTGGAGGCCATCGTCCTGCCCATGAACCACAAGGAGAAGTTTGAGAACTTGGGCATCCAGCCACCCAAAGGGGTCTTGATGTACGGACCGCCTGGCACCGGCAAGACCCTCCTGGCCAGGGCCTGCGCCGCTCAGACCAAGGCCACCTTCCTGAAGCTGGCCGGTCCACAGCTGGTCCAGATGTTCATCGGAGATGGAGCCAAGCTGGTGAGAGACGCCTTCGCCCTGGCCAAAGAGAAGGCCCCGTCCATCATCTTCATCGATGAGCTGGACGCCATCGGAACCAAGAGGTTTGACAGCGAGAAGGCGGGAGACAGAGAGGTGCAGAGGACCATGCTGGAGCTGCTCAACCAGCTGGACGGATTTCAGCCCAACATGCAGGTCAAGGTAAAGAGGCTGGCACCAGAAACACTGTTTTCATACACCGCACATGTTTGTACACAAAGTATTTACAACCATGTTGTCCAGTTGTCCAGGAACTGTATATCAATAAACCATATTATATATATATATATATCTAGTAAGACCAGCACAAGACAACACATTAGTTATGTCAGAATCAAAATATTAACTGTCATATTATCTTATTGCTGTTCTGTGATGCCATTAAACAATCTTTCCCTCATCAGATTAAAAATAGAAAACAAACAATAACAGCACTCATTATAAACAGTGTGTTGCACTGCTGACTGTATGCATCAGGTTCAGGTTCATTGTACGTACTAGTACACATTTATAGGACAAAAGAGAACTCCGTACACTCAAATGTTCTGGTTCTTGGCAACAAATACGGTTTATTAAAAACTTCTGTCAAAGAGCAAAAACCTTTTCTACTTTTCTTAATATACTAATGGTCTTTATGCAGCTAATGACTCACAAATGAATGAAGTACAGGCCGTTTAAATGTGAAATATGGGCACACAGAACAAACTAAAAGCACCAACGTTCCTATCCTATCCCCCACCGTGGCATTACTTTACAGCATATTACAGTATAACTACATAAATTTTTATTTTTCAGGTGATTGCTGCCACCAACAGAGTGGACATCTTGGATCCCGCGCTGCTCCGTTCGGGCCGTCTGGACAGAAAGATCGAGTTCCCCATGCCAAACGAAGAGGCCAGAGCTCGCATCATGCAGATTCACTCCCGCAAGATGAACGTCAGTCCTGACGTCAACTACGAGGAGCTGGCTCGCTGCACCGACGACTTCAACGGGGCCCAGTGCAAAGCCGTGTGTGTGGAGGCCGGTATGATCGCGCTGCGCCGCGGGGCCACAGAGCTCAACCATGAAGATTACATGGAAGGAATCCTGGAGGTCCAAGCCAAGAAGAAAGCTAACCTTCAATACTACGCCTGAGGACACTGTCTGTGTCTGTCTTTATGTGTGAGAGAGTCTTTGATTATTAAACACTTGTTGGGTAAACACTTGTTACACTTGTTGATTAACTTGGGTTAATAAAAATAAATAAAATGTCATAAGTGTTGTGTTTCTTTCCACTGATAAGAGTTTGTATTTCATTGTTTCAGGTGTACCAGTATTTGAATGCCTGTTTCTGTTTTATCTAGAAAAACAGTAGTATATAAGTATATTAACACAAAGCTGGTTGATGTTCTGTCACCCCTGAGTACAGGTACTGTGAAGTGACTGCAGGAAAATGGAGACAAAGCAACAAAATGCACAAAACCAACAGGTGGTTAAAATGGTTGAGAACCATTTAGATTTGCTAACACAATATTCCTTTTTCATGACAGAAGTCATAGTAGGAAAAGAAAAGGGATAATTAATAGCATTAAAAGTGGCTGTATTCCTGCTATAGTTGCAAGCTCTGTCCCAAATCTCTACTACATACTAATAGTTAAGGTAAACTGTTTAAGCTTTTTATTTTATAACAACAATATATTTTATACCAACAGGAAATCACTTTGAAAGCTACTGCCAATTAAACATCCAAAAATCTTTCTAAAACCTAACACTTTTGTTTCTTTGAGATTGTTTTGGAGCTGTTCCACATCCACCTATTATTTTTTATTTTGAGTTGTGAGCAGCTCCTCCTGTATGCATTGCATTCTGGGAGAATAGTACACACTCAAAAATTCACCAGTACTTTATTTTGTCACTTTTCCAGTGAGAACACACTTAAAACACAGAATTAGTATGTAATACGACATAGTAGAACAAAGCTCATTCTGCATATAACTACCTATCTCCAGTATCCCAGTATCCCAGTAACCCTTTCCAGTGAGCCTGGGACATCTACATGGAATCCAGTCATCATTAATGTTATTAGTTACTAACAGTGTTTTGTGTTCTGCTATGGCAAGTAAATATGTCTGCAGTGAGAAAGGCTTATAGTCTACAGGAGTAACTTTTAGATTTTAGAGAATCTTTTATACATTTGCTTCAAATGGTTAAAACACTTTAAGTACCTACACTAATCTCTTATGAATGTATGTATGTAGAAGTGTTTAAATAAGGCAAAGATAATGTAGACCTCCTCTCCTCTCACATAGAAATGTTATCTGAGCCTGGCAGTCCATACTTTATCTGTTAAGACAAAACCAAACAACTGACTCAATTAATTATCTTTGTTTTGCATTAATTACTCATAATAACTTACTTTCTCATTAGGCAGAAACTCTCCTCATATTAGAGCTACTGTTAGTTAATTCAGTCGGATACTACATCTGAAGAAATACTTCAAACATGAATAGAAAATAATTAACAAAACTAATGAATATATGAATTAACAAATAAGATGTATTTTAATTGCCTAAATATTGTCAAAGGGTTTCAGTTATGGTTTTGTTAAATGTGAAAAAGTTTGTTTTTAATCACAGCTTCAGATTTTTCACTTTCATCAGACATAGTTTTCACTGTGGAGCCTTGAATGTGTAGACCAGTGACCAAGGAGCGGAAAAACAATTAACCACCTGATGGAAACAGTACGTTTAAGTAAAACATATTTCTTGTATGTAGATTTGATCACCAACACAGTTCTCAGAATATGTCCTGATGTATAGATAGTAGATTCAATTTCAGATGCAAAGGTCCTGAGACACATTCAGGCCACAACTCTTCCATTACTTTCACTTCTCAGAAAGCAGTGCACTTTTAATAGTTACCTTATTCTGTAATAATACTTTAATATCCCAATAAAATCCACATATTTTAGAGCAAACCCTCTTTTTGTGTCACTACAAAGAAAACTACCCACCAATTGCATCATTGTAAGCAGCACAAGCTATCTAAGATGGAGTGTCCATGTGTGGAGGACATGCAATGAACAAGAAGACCAATTACTTAAATTCTTTACATTTATTAAGAATGTAAAAAGAACAACAGAGTATGTATTCTTCCAAAACATAATGAAAAACAGAGGAAGAGTCTAAGCAGGGTGGGATGAAGAGAGTCTGTTGCTTCTCAGAAGAGGAGTGCTGATCTACAATCAGGTTGCTAGACCACAAATCCAAGGATGTAATAATAGCAGAAATTGAAGGGAACTTGTGGAAAGCAGGAGACAAGTGTTGATGTCAATGGATGTAAATTGTGAGTGCATATAAAAAATGGAATATCAGCTCCCCAGTTAATGCAACTTCTGGATCAACACTCCTATTTTAAGAAACTGGATGTTAAACGGCCACACCAACAGAATGTATGTGGAAATAACAAGCCAAAGACAAAAGCAGAGAACAGAGAACATTTCCCTCCTCAGTCCCTCCTCAGTCCTTCCTCAGTGGTATGGTCTGCTCATCGATGCCCTCCTTAGTGATGACACAGACACGAAGGGCATCTCCGGTATAGACGTCTCTCTCCGCGGCCGAGATGAAGACGTCTTTGACCAGCTGAACGGCCTTGTCCCGAGTCAGAGGAACATGCTGAACACCCTCCATGTTCTTGAATCCAATCTGTGGAAGGAGACAGACATGAGTGTACCTTGTGACCACTGTGAGGAAACCTGATTGGAGCTTTGCGTTGTCTCCATACCGGATAACATAAACATAGTGGCATTGTGAAGGTCGGGATTCAGTGTGTTATTTACCTGGTTGTCTAGTAGCGGTTGTAGCATGGCACTTGCTGATCCCCCAGCCTTGTAGGTGTCTCTCTGGTAGGAGCCTACTGGGTCAAAACTGTACACTGCTCCCTTGCCTACATTACAGACATAAAATATATCAAATTAAAACATGTTGTTACAACATAGCAACATTCCCTGCCCTCTGCAGCAATCGTACTGTGCACAAGAAGCATAGCTGCAGCCTAAATATGAATACGCAGCTCTTTTACTCACACAATCCAGTGGATATGACAGTGAAACATTTACTCATCTTAATAATCGGCAGTAATGAAGTACCTACCCTGTTCATCCAGCCCTCCGATGATGTTGTAG